CCCCAAAACCCCAAAACCCCAAAACCCCTTGAGTCAGTTATTGATAGAATAGAGATAATAAATTTTATTTATTTACTTTCAGAGATATCTAAAACTACAATTTCATCTTTCTATATTTTGTATAGATTCCTTTACTAATTGCCATTTTTAAAATTCTGTTTTTTCTTTTTTCTCATTAATTACTCTAATAATATTGAGGCCAATTTTCACTTTTTCTAATCAATTGGATGTTTGCTTAAGTTTTTTGTTAACTGTTAATGATATATTAATGATGACCCTAAGCAGACAATTGCTGCTTGGGCTAATGTCCAAGAGTTTTAGATTAATCTAATTAGGATGCTCTTTTACTAATGTTTTAGGACAAATAGCTCTGGTAGCTCTTCAGATTTTGATAGTTTCGGTTATTTATGCTATTAGTGTTGCAAACAAGGTTATATTGCTGAATTGTTTAGAATTTACTCTCCCTTTACATGTCTGGCGATCTTTGTATTGAGGAATCAGTGGTAGAATCACCCGAGACCTAGTTATAGGTAATTTTTGCATTGATTTTTTTCATTTTGCTTGCTTACTAATAGTTAATGGTCTTCATATTACTAATAACATTACTTGCAGTTGTATGTTAAGGCTTCTATGATGATATGGAAAGTGAATTTACATTGTTTAATGAAATGTTGGTTGATTAGTTTAAAGGCCTATATTCTTGAGACTATTGCTACTATTACTATTGACTATTCTTTAGTCGTAAATTTGTCTGGGATGAGCAAGACATATTCTTGTCACCCATCATCTTACACTTTGTCATGAAACTTCTCTGAACTAGCTGGATCTACTCATCTCTAGTGTCGGTCTCAAACGATTGAAGATTAGCTTGAGAACATTAAATAAGATTTTAGACTGAATTATGGCAGCTCATATTAGATTTCACCAGACTTCTTTCAGACATTTATCTTTTTGCTACAGGCTGATCTGTCTATTTCGAAGTCATCCTCACCTAAAAGGATTAATGAGCTAACTGTGGTTTTTGACTTGTATTGCAGACAGATTGTCTTTTGTTCAAGTTTTTAAATGGCCCTCTATTAACTATTCTTAACTAGTCACTTTCAAGCTATTCAGAAAAATAATTTGCTTTGTTAAATGGGGCTTTAATCTAAGTTGAGAGAACTTTCATAGGTTTATCTTCCGTATTTCTTGATGCCTATTATTTGCTATTGCTTTGAGTAGTGAATAACGATGTTTATATATTTTAGATTTGCTTTAGTACTTTTTCCTCAAAGTTTTAGCTGATTTGAGTCAGAATTGGACCCTGGCTTTTTCTCAAAGAGCTATTTAAGTTATTTTGATGATTTGTGAATATTTTAGACTCTTTTTCACCTAATTCAGTTTTTAAGATGGTATTGAAACCTGGGCTCTATGATCTTGTTCTGTAAAAAGAACCGACTATTCCATTCCCTGTATTCTTCCTACTAGCCCTGCTTGCAGTTGCACAACCATTATGAGTTAATTGTTCTACGAGTGTCTTGGCTAGTTCCTCATTAATTTATCTGCAATTTTTATCTGCTTTGATAAGCTTATTTGCATACTATTCTTTAACAGCTGAAAGTGGATTATTATGGGTTTCCAGATTTTCTTTGAATATAATCCACTATTTCTCAAATTTTTGCAGCTTTCTTTTACAATTTTCAATAACTTTATGCGATTCTTCACTGGGCTCTCTGTTATTTTGCGATTTTTTTCTTAAAATAGATTCTCTTTTTTCCTTAAAAGACATGTTCATTACCTTTGGTCGCTTCTGCTTCAACTCTGAAAAAGTTTACTCGTTTATATCTTGAGATTCTGGAGGCAAATTTAACAATTATTGGTGATCACCAAGCAGTCAATTATGATCTAAATTTCGGCTGATCAGACTACCTCCTATTTCATCTCCTCCATTTGTTGATTTTTATTTCCTCCTCAGTCTTTCATTCTAGAGAGACTTCAATTCCTTTGATAAAGGGTTCGCATAGCTTTATATCTCTTGTTGTATTTTAGCCAGATTAACCTATTATCTATGCTTCCTACAAGAACTCTCAAAGTTCTAAACAAGTAGTTGACTTGCATTAATTAAACTCTAAGGACTATTTTAAATACAGGTGTTCTGCTTAGAACTCGACTAATAATAATATAGGTTGCTAGGTGCTTCAGCATTATTGTAGATAGAATTGTATCTAGATCGATTCATGATGTTATCATTTGTTGTGTTGCTTATTGTTTTAATATGCGAATTCGTTGACATTTAAGAGTTTGTGAATTTTAAAATTAACTGTTATCCAATTACAATCTACTCAAATTATTATTAAAATATAATTAATGTCCTCCTCACGATTTAAGCATTACCTCATTAACTAAGCAAAAAGAAATCTTGCTCAAAAAGTGCAGTATTATACTACTCCTCTCAAGCCAGTATGTATTTTCTACTTAATAATTGTATAAGGATTCATACTTAGTAACTCCACCAAGATATGTACCCCCTTAAATAAAGAGACCTCCTTATGTAGGTATAATTTTGCATAATTTTAATGATTAAAATAAAGGACAAAAGCCACAATAGCTTCCTGATGTTAATGCTTCAGATATTTATATAATGAATAAAGATCAGCAAGAAGGTTTGAGAAAAGCCTCATAGATAGCAGCCAAGACTTTGAAAACTGCACTAGATAATACTAAGGTACTCATTTGACTATCAATGACGATTCCTTATTCAAAATTAGATTGGCATGAGTTTAGATGATGTGGATGAAATTGTGCATGAGAGTATTTTATCTATGGGAGCATACCCAAGTGCTATAGACTATATGCATTTCCCTAAGAGTGTTTGTACCTCAGTGAATGAAGTAGTGGCACACGGAATACCAAACGACTATGTGTTGAAGGATGGTGATTATTTAAACATTGATGTGGTATGCTATTTTGATGGCCATCATGGGGATAACAGTGGCATGGTGATGCTAGGTAATGTGCACCCAGATATTTAAAAACTTGTAAGCAAAAATATTCATTGATTTAATTAGAGTTAAGTGACTAGAGAGTCAATGTACGCTGCAATTGAGATTGTCAAGCCAGGTGCTACTTTTGACTAGATTGGCAAAACCATCGAGTAATTAAATAATCTAATCATAAATTTAGAGAGTATGCTGATAAGTATGGTTATGCAGTAAATGCAGAATTTGGAGGGCATGGAATAGCTCATCATATGCATATGCCACCTATGGTATATCACAATAAAACTAGAAGCTCCTCAAAGCAAGTAATGAAACCAGGAATGGCATTCACCATTGAGCCAATTTTGATGATGAAAAAGAACTTTAATTATGTTTAATGGAGAGATAACTGGACTATTTCGACTAATGGAGTGCCTTCATGTCAGTGGGAGCATATTATTTTGGTCACTGAGGAAGGACACGAGATTTTAACTATTAGAGAAGGCGAGACTAATCCATTAGATGCCAAGAGAGCTGCAGGCTAACTTTGAAATACTTCCTTAATTAAAATTGTTACATCTCATTTAATAAAGACTTAACTTTTAATATATATTATTTAAATAAGTATAAATTAGGAACATTAATTACCGAGATAATAAATAAGGAGTAGGATGGAGTGTTTAATTCAAATATTTTATAAGAACTTCAAATATTTATCAAAAACCTGATCTATAGCATTTCAATCATTCCAATTGCTTCTTAATAAATTATCTCTAACAATTTGACTTCTCCTTGTGAATGATTTGCTATTTGATCAGTTATAAGCGTTTAAACTTCGATATTTACATAAGAGTCTATCAAAAAATGAGGGAATCATTTGATTACATCATCTGCGTTTCAATCATAGAATCACTCAAACTAAGATAAATCTCCTTATTTCTATTCTTATCATTCTCATCATCTTCTACCTTTTTACTTCTTGCTACTTTACTCAATCTTGGCTTCTTCTTCCAACATCAGATCTTGCTTCTCCTTATTTTTTGCTTGTTTTTATGCCTCCTTTTGCCTTTTAAGTGCTTCTTTTTGCAAATGTCTCGCGTCATCCTTATCAACAGCTCCCCATTTCTTGTTTTCTTACTCTATTTACTTGATAATCAAATCTTGATTGATCTTCTGCTGTTCTCTATCTAACTTCTCAGTGCGTCTCTTCATGTATTTCTAATAGTCTTTGAAGTTATAGCTCTTGTTGGAGGCTGCTGATGACTCTCCATTCTGTCTAGCTTGCCACTTGGTGTTTCTAGTGTCTACTGCGTGGATTATGCCTGATTCGTAACCACAGTTATCGTAGGACCCTCCATCTAAAGAAGGGATACCGTTCATGTCTACATCTTAATAGCCGTTCATTTTCAAAGTGTATAGTCCTTAAAGCTCGTGTTTGTTCCACGGGATTGTATTCCCTCTTTTTAGTATTATTTAATAATGATTAAATCTAACTAATTCTTTATTTTTTCATCCTTGGTTTCTGCTTGAATTCACCATATCGGGGTTTTGGGGTTTTGGGGTTTTGGAAGTGTTTGCATGGCAACCTAAAAGTCT